CCGAGAAGGCCCTCCCCCTGGGGGTCGCCAGCCGGCACTGTCTGGCTGACGGCACCCTGAGGAGACCCTCTCTGTGGGAGCGTATCGGCCGATGAGAGGTAATCTGAGGCAGAAGGCGGTCTCGGAGATAACCAGGTCCGATGCCATGGAGCGCTTTGAAGATGATAATCAGCACCTTGAAGCGCACCCGGAAAGCCACTGGCAGCCAGTGCAGCTCGCGTAGCAGCAGCGTTACATGGGAGCGACGGGTCACTCCCAACACCGCCCGCGCGGCTGCATTCTGGACTAACTGGAGCCTCCGAGTGCTCAAGGGGAGCCCCATGTAGAGAGCGTTGCAGTAGTCCAGGCGGGAGGTGACAAGAGCATGGGTGACTGTGTTAACTCATAACATTTCTTATGTCCTTAATATTTCCAAGGAGTGTGATGAAAAATGTTCAGCAAACGTTCACTTTTCCATAGTGAGAGAGTTAAACAAAGGGTAAGCAGTGAAATTATAAGCTGAGTGAGACAGTCTTAAAAACTACTTGTAATCCATATGTTATCCAGGGGAACATCATCCTGGCCTATTTAGCGCTTCATAGTATCACCCTCAGCTATATAGTTATTAACTATAACTAGTTAATAGAGTGCCTTGCCCTTTGGAATCACCTGACTAGCATAAATGAGCCTTTGCATATGAAAGTCTGAAAACACTGGACAAGCCTGTAAGATACTGGATTTACCATAAAGGTTCCTTTTCAACAGTGGATATAGGGCATCCTGAAATTAGATTGCTTCTGTCATTTTCTCCAGCAGGCAGACAGAAAAAACAGTAACAATCCTTAAAGCATGAGGTAAGGAAGATAACTTCTTTTCTATTTATGAAATCAAAAAGCAGCAGGAATCCCAAAGACCGTGTATGAGAAAAAAATAACAAAGGTAAAATGAAATAAAATATCAGTATTTTACTAGGGAGGGGTGCTCTGTTTATGGTAGAAGAAGAATCTTCATACAAGTTCATTGATTCATTTTTCTATAATACATGAGAATACCCTAATACATGAAAATGGGCAGCATATAAATTAATTAAATAAATAAATAATACATACATACATACATACATACATACATACATACATACATACATACATACAGTGACATGAAAAAGATCCTCAGGAAAGCACACGAATTTCAAAAACTTTCTTTTTCCAAGACATAGAAAACTCATCTAGTAGCTTTATATTTAAATGTTATATATTTGTCCTAAGCCTAGACTTCTCTGGATAAGGTTTAGCATAGGTTGGATATATTAAGAGCAATGTATCTTTGTAAAACTAGGACTAGGACTTTCTATTTAACAGAATATCCTTCCAGCAGGCCACTTTCAGACATAGTGCTTTCACTGCTACATTATCAAGGTGCATCTAGTGCTATGTGTTCTAAGTTTATGACTAATATTATAAGTTACAATCCATTCTACAAAGAATGGAGATCCCTGTTCTGTCCTCACTACAGGTTCCTCTGTGTGCAGCTTGACACGCAGCTAAACCCACCTATCCTTCAATAAAACAGATTGTGTGCATAGATCTGAGTGCTTTATTAAAAGAACAGGATTGTGAAACTGGGAAAAATAGAAACACATACAATAAGAACCCAAATACAAAATAAGCAGTACTGAGTTACTGGTGAACATAACAATTAACAAATACAGAAAAAAATCTAAATCTCTGTGGATTTTGTCCTCAGATGAACATATGTCACAGATTAGGCTGGATTCTTCATGATACTTCTGCTTCCTTCCAAATGCTAAAGGAAATGGAGTCTAGCTTCCCAGAATGCACTTGTTTTGGGAGTGAGGGTGGATGGGTAAAAGGGTTGGGTCAACTTCCAAACAATACAGATTGGTATTTGGCCCTGGCCATTAGACGGGGCTAGAAAGCAATACCAGTATATACACAAATTATATGCTGGGGCATGACAATCCCTATAGTTGTTTTTTACCTCTAAGTTCCCTTGGGGATGCATATAATAAAGTTATGTGCATCCCCAAGAGAACTTAGGTGTAAAAAACCTTGATAATGTAGCAGTGAAAGCATTATGTCTAAAGGTAGCCCGCTGGAAGGATATTCAGTTAAATAGAAAATCCTAATCCTAGTTAGATACATTGCTCTGAACATATCTAATCTATGCCAAACCTTATTCAGAGAAGTCTAGGCTTAGGACAAAATGACAGCTAAAGCAACATTATTCCAAAGGACCTTTGAAAGCAAAACAGTTTGATGGCTGAAAGGATGGCTGTTTTTGATTTTAATCTTCTGTAGTTTTTTTTAACTGTATTTCTATATTTTTATTGCTGTAAATTGTTGTAAACTGGACTTCAGATTCTAGTAATATAGATATGTGAAAATTGAAAATTCTTAATTAATCAGCCAAAATTAAACATATCTAAGAATTCCCCTTTATACTACCCCTTTAAAACATTATAAAAAGAACTCTCTATAAGTATTAGATATACAGTATAACAGACTGGCTAAATGGATCTGAATTTCCTAACACATCAGGCATTTCTATGAATATAACTCATGTATAGACAAATGCTTCTGCATCATACTCAGACTTTAACAGAAAGACAAACATACAATTCTGTTTACATTTTTACTGCCAGGATGTTTCCAAAACATTTTCAAGAAAAATAAAAAAATATTCTTTTTATGCACAGAAAAACATTGAAATGGAGTTGTTATCAAGTTTGCTGAAACCATACAGCATGAAATCCATAGATTCAATCTTGGTGAACAACATATTTGAAAATCATATATATATATTTTTTTCTAAGGAGAAAAGTTTTTAGCACTTTACCTTAACTAATTCAAAGGGGAATCTCTCATGAAAAATGCGATTTATTCGGGCTCCACCTGAGAGTTCTAATGTATCCACTTGGTCTCCTGACCCCTCAATTCTCTTCTCAAAATCAACTGCAAACTGTTGGACCATTCTGCAGAAAGATAAATGAGGTAATGACCATTTTTTAAAGATTTGGTAAATCATGGAATTCTCCCCAAGCAATTAAGAATGTTCAGAGATGCTTTTAGGTATTGAATCAACTTCTGTTGGCACCTTTCTATGGAAACGTAAGTTATTGTCAGAAAGATTATTTGCCAGTTATTGGCAAATTTATCTTAATTTTAACATGAAACTCTAATTTTTAAGTCACTATCAACTTTCTATGATATTTACTGAAAACTAATAGAACTTTATTTTGGTCGTTAACCAATAAAAATACAATCACACACACACACATACTCTTTTTTTGTAATGAAACAGATATAGTTTAACCCGAGAGAGTTCAGATATTATGCAGTAAGATAGAATGTTTCTTATAAATTCTATTCTAACAAAGAGTTTCTTATTGTCACCCCAAAAAAAGCTCCCAGAGAAGCTTAACTAAAAGAAAATCAACTTGGAATTAATACCAGCTATTTTATCTCTAAGCAGTCAGAAAACTTAAGGACTTCTACTATTCTAGGTTCAGTTCAGAGAGTTTACAGTTTTAGAAGCATTCAAGAATCTGCAGCATCTTATAATTTTATTTATTAAATGTGTTTGCTGCCCATCTCAGGATTTAGAGGCCTATACACTAATGGTCAAAGTATGAGGAATAAATAGAATGAACTTGAAATCCTAGTACATAAAGACAGGCAAGACATCACTGCCATTACCAAAACTTGGTGGAATGAAACCCATGACTGGAATGTACAGCTAGAAGGATTTAAACTGTTCAAAAGGAGCAGACCTAATAAAAGAGGAGGTAGAAATCCACTATATATAAGAAATATATGCACCTCTATAGAAACACAAAAGATCAATGACAAAATCTTCATGAATGCATTTGGGTTAATGTAAAAGGAAAAAGGAATGACGTTGCCATAGGTGTATATTATAGACCACACCAACCAAATAGAGGAAATAGATGAACTATTTGCTAATCACTTAGCTACAGTGTGCAGGATGCACACAACAATAATAATGGGGGACTTCAACTTCCCTGACATAAAGTGAGAGACAAACTCAGCACCTAGTAGATCAAACAGGTTCCTAACGAACCCAACAGATAACAGAAATGAAATGATAGAAGGGATTAAAGTTACAGGAATCTTAGGGAAGGTGATCTTGCAATATTGGAATTCAATATAATGCAAGCTCAAACAATAGAACAAAGTCAAACTAGTCTTGGATTTTAAGAGAGCTAATTTCAGCAAACTTAGAGAGTGCTTGGGAAGCTTAGACAACTCTGAAAAGTAAGATTATAAAAGCCCAGTCTAGCATACTAGCATGAAGAGAAAAATAAGAGATCCCAAAAGAAACCAGCATGGCTGCAGAAAGAACTCTCTGATAAATATGTCCCAAAGGTGCTTTTTCAGGAGGCAACTGGACTTTCTTGTTTTTCTTTGAAGACGTTTCGCTTTTCATCAAAAGCTTCTTCAGCGCAAATGGTTCCTGTAGACTGCAATGTTTTCTGAAAATCCGTTCATACTCCCATATCATTCAAAAGTGAATCATTTGCGCTTCAGTTTGAGATACAGACTACACAGACTCATCCCCAACAGCCTGCGCCTGTCTTCAACAGTGAAGAGACACAGGGCAGAAAACATCCTGCAGTCAAGAAGGCTCCTTACACATTTGCACTACTCAGGTGACCCTAAGGACACAGGTAAACTGTCACGGTTCCGAAAGAAGAAGCTCTTCAAAGAACTTTGAGGCATTGTTTACCTTAAATAATCTTTAATTTGCGACATAGCTTCGGCACATACATAAAGAAGCCAAAATCTGAATTCTCCTCCCCCAAACACAAAGTATCAAAGCATAACTCACTCCTTCATTTAACAGTCCTTAATCACATTCTCCAATTAGTTTGAAGTGTGAACTTTCCCTCCCGTTATTTCCTCTTATTACAACTAACCGTGAAGAATACTCTACTGAGATATTGTTATGGCTAACTAGTCCCCAGCATATTCTTCCCCCTCCCCTCCAGCACCATCTCTTTTAACTCTAAAAGTAATACACAGGTTAAATAGGAAATGTCTGCATCTTTATATATTGTCAAGCAAGAACATCTGATGTTAGTGACATGGTTCCGAAAGAAATAACTTTTCAAAGAACTTTGAGGCTTAATTACCTTAAAGAATCCTTTAATGGGTTACATAATCCGGCACGAACAAAGGAAAGCCAAAAACTGAAACACCCCCCCCACCCTAGCTCTCGCGACAAGCACAACTCCCTCCCTCCTTTCACAGTCATCAATCATATGCTCCAATTAAACAGAGGTNCATGGTTCCGAAAGAAATAACTTTTCAAAGAACTTTGAGGCTTAATTACCTTAAAGAATCCTTTAATGGGTTACATAATCCGGCACGAACAAAGGAAAGCCAAAAACTGAAACACCCCCCCCACCCTAGCTCTCGCGACAAGCACAACTCCCTCCCTCCTTTCACAGTCATCAATCATATGCTCCAATTAAACAGAGGTGTGAATCTTCCTCCCGTCTATTCTCTGTTATTACAGACTGCTGTTGCTTTGACCTTGGCTGTGCTATGCTAAGATAATGTTATTATTCACAGGCATTCCTCCCCCCTCATATGGCCTGCAATGCCTGCTTTTGCTCTTGAAGCGATATGTAGGCTAAATAAGATATGTTTGCTTCTTCACATATGTCAAGCAAAAATATCCAATGTTAGCAGACTTGACAGTTAGCAGCATTAACATAAACCTCCAAATGGCTTCAACAACTCTCTAAATCAGTGGTGGCGAACCTATGGCACGGGTGCCAGAAGCGGCCCTCGGAGCCCTCTCTGTGGGCACATGTGCCATTGCCTCAGCCTTGCCTCCCCCCATGACCCCCTCCTCTCCAGCAGCCCCCCTGAAGGAGAGTCGTCCTCGAGCATGGCCCACACAGAGCAGTGCAGCCAAGGACATGGCAGCCAGGCAGCGTAGACAAGACTCTGCCCTCACACCCCATCATGCAGTTGATGCTGCAGGGTGTGGGCAGAGGGTGTGACTGCCATAGCGCTGCTGGGCTGCCTGGGCGATCTGTGGCGGGCACTGGAGGCGGTGAGTGGTCCTGTGGGCAGGTGGGGCATGGGATGGGGGGGCAGAGCGGGGGCGGGGCAGGGGGTGGATCGGGGGCAGGGCCAGTTTTTGGGCACTCGGTCTCTAAAAGGTTCACCATCACTGCTCTAAATGAATGCAAATGACCAGCTGTCTACAAGGAATATAAATCCTTCCATTCCCCACTATCTAGTTAGAGCTGAAGAAGCTTCTTGGATGAGAAGCGAAATGTCTTCAAAGAAAAACAAGAAAGTCCAGTTGCCTCCTGAAAAAGCACCTCTGGGCCAACCATGACCTGGATGACTGAGAAACTCCATAGACATCTCTGATAAACAGAAAAACAGAAATGGCAAATATAAAAAATGGAAAGCGGGGAACATTCCTAAGGCAGAATATCAACATATTGTATAGCCTGAACCTGCAAAGATGAAGTCAGGAAAGGCTGATAATGAAGGTTTGCAACAAATGTCAAAAATAACAAAAAAGGTTCTTTCAACATGTAAAAAACAAGAAAAAAAATCAAGGAAATGTGTCAGTCCGCTAATAGGAGAAGATGGCAAGGAGGTGATAGGCAGCAAGGAGAAAACAGGACTGCTTAATTCATTCTTTGCATCTGTCTTTACACAAAAGGAAAAAACAGTCTGTCAAAAATAGTACCATAAGAGACAAAATTCAAATCAAATCAAAAATCAAATCAAAATAAGTAAGAACATTGTAAGAGAACACCTATCCATTGTAGATGAGTTCAAATCATCAGGTCCAGATGGATTACATCCCAGGGTTTTGAAGGAGCAAGCAAATGTGATCTCAGAACCACTGAAAGGAGGGAGAGAGTTGTGCTTGTCGCGAGAGCTAGGGTGGGGGGGGGGGGTGTTGGATGGATTCTTTCAAAGATCCTGAAGCACCAGAGATCTACCCGAAGACTGGAAAAGAGTTGACATGGTTCCCATCTTCAAAAAAGGAAAAAAATGGATCCAAGAAACTACACACCAATCTGCCTGACATCTATACCTGGGAGGATCCTGGAAAAGATAATCAAGCAACCAATCTGCAAACATCTAGAGGCAAGCAAAATTATAACAAAAGCTAACAAGGGCTTGTCAAAAATAGATCATATCAAACAAATCTTATTGCATTTTTTACAAAGTGACTAAATTAGTGGACCAGAGAAATGTGTTATACATAATTTACTTGGACTTCAATAAGGCATTTGATAAAGTAGACCACAATCTACTACTTGGCAAGATAGAAAAATCTGGGTTAGACAGTATCACTACCAGATGGATTCGAAACTGGCTGACCAACCGCACTCAACATATGTGGTTCCGACAGATGAAACTCTTCAAAAGAACTTCGAGGCATTGTTTACCGTATTTTTCGCTCTATAAGACGCACTTTCCCCCCCCAAAAGATGGGGGAAAATGTCTGTGCGTCTTATGGAGCGAATGCCGCCTCCCTTCCGCGCTGCCGCTGCCGCCGC